CAGAGGGAGCCACTATAGGTCTGAGAAGAGATCTGGAACTAGGGAGATCTCCAGAGACCTACAAGGATGACACAATCTGGCAGTCCTGGTAGTGGAGGAGAGAATAGCCTAGAATCCCTTCCCCTAGAATGAGATTGATGACTACTCGCTATGCTATCCTAGAGCCCTCATCCAGTGGCTGATGGAAGCAGAGACAGACATCCACAGAAATACACTGATCTGAAATCTGGAACCTAGTTGAAGAGAGGGAGGAATGAAGATCAAAGGGGTCTGTACCAGGTTGGAGAAACCCACAGAAACAGTTGTCCTGAGAAAGGGAAAGCATATGTACCCCAGACTCTGTGTGGAAGGGTAGTGAGGGACTGATCCAGCCCCCTGATCATGGATGCCAATGGGGAGGCCCCTGCACTCTGGGGAGCATCCGGAGGTGGACTGGCAGGTTTTCCCTGGTGTGGGGGTGGGGGAGACTTTAAGAGCCCATCCCACATGAAGGGATGTGCTCTGTCTCTGGACACATGGGGAGGGGCCTAAGGCCCAGCACAGGAAGATTTGGTGGACTTTTTGGATCCCCTGTTGGGGGCCCTACCCTGCCTGGGGAGTGGTAGGTGGATGGGTGAGGGGTAGGTTGGAGGTGGGGGAGGAGGGATTGGGTGAGGGGAGGGAGAGGGAGAGGGGACTTACATGTGAAACAAGCCTGTTCCCTAACTTGAATTAATAATAAAAAAGGGAAAAATATTTGTAATAAACAGAACAACAGATTAAAAGTTTTAATGTATGAATAATTGATTCTGTTAGTGTTATAAAATATCTGTGAATCCATAGAATGATGGACTAATTATAGTAATAGAAAATAGAAAAATCAAAGAAAGTAAAACTTCTAAAAAATGCATGACATTAAAAATTCAAAATTTTGCCCGGCGATGGTGGCACACAACTATAATCCCAGCATTTGGGAGGCAGATGCAAGCAATCTCTGTGAGTTCAAGACCAGCCTGTTCTACAAGAGCTAGTTACAGGACAGCCTCCAAAGCCACAGAGAAATCCTGTCTTGTCAAAACAAAATAAATAAATAAACAATAAAAAGTTAATAAATAAAAATAAATAAATTCAGAATTTTTACTGGTACTCAAAGTTTCTAAATTGGTATTGTATTTGTTTATCAAACTTTATAAGCAAGTGAAT